CAAAGTACACAACACTTCTAGATTATCGCGCGGTGAGGATATTGACAACTTAGCTTGTTCTTTGCAGCATCTTGACACTTAGTCCGGTAGGCTCGGGTTCGAATTCTGGCAGCGGCGTCAATACACATATAATTATAATATACTAGCTACTGCCCGCGACTACGTCTGCGTAGAGGGGTGAAAATTTAGGGTTGTATGTATTTTTTATGCCACATTATAGAAAAATAAAAACAAAAAATTTTGTGCAAAAATTATAAAAAAACGTTAAGGGTGAACAATCCTTATCACTTAGAGGTATGAAAAATAGATAGTAGCCGATTCTCAGACCTACAGAATATGCATATAAAATTTGGTAAAAATCAGTAAAGCCGTTTCGGAGGTAAGGTAACTAACATTGTGACACGAGAATTTTATATATAAGATATACATATATATACCTCAACAATATCATAAATATTATGAGAACATATAAAATATAATTTGATATATACATATAGATTAAATTAATATGTTTACAGACGCAATATAGTAAATTTATTTATTTTTATCAGTCAATTTAAGTTGATACGCGTGCATAACTTTTAACTGTTTTAGATTCCAATACTACCGGAACTTGAGCCTGGTAAATTCAAATATCCATATTCTTAAGAAAATGTCCAAATTATTACTAGACATCTTCGTAAAAACATTGATATTGGGCGTTCCGAGAAATAAAGAAAGAAAGCAAAATTGCAAGTTTTATCTATATTGCCTCGTAGGACAAGACGTGTGGATCCTGAATAAAAACAGTTACTATATAATTATGTTCTTGTAAATTATATTAAAGAACCACTTGTATCATCCTCCGAGTCAACTACTGACTTTCTTTATAGAAACAGTCTCACTTAGTCGGGATATAGCGCATATAAATACAACTGAATAAGCCCGGTTGGTGAATTAACAGAGCAGAATTTTAATTGGCCATATAATATGGCATTTGCATAATGACGTTAGTTACAGACGATATTTCGCACCGCCGCCTTGTCATTAAACCCCTCAACCCTTCCATTAAGTAGCTAAAGATTGGCCCATTAAGTTTCATCGACGTTATTAATATCACATCCCTCATTAGTGAATTGATCACTCCATGAAAGCAATTTGACAGTAAATTAAAGAAAAACCAATGGATAAACCATGTTTAGGGACAACCATATATGGCTTAACCATAGTTTATATCTCATTGACATAATGACGTTTATGAACATTATATATTACTCTTATATAATACATGATTATGTAAGTATTAATAACATATTACGTACTCATATTTAATATATGTTTATTTTTTATTTCAGACATCGGAATCATGTTTTAGGGTTCCTTACCCAAAGGGTAAAACGGAACCCTATCATTAAAACTCCACTGTCCGTCTGTCTATCTGTCCGTCTGTCACCAGGCTGTATTTCATGAACCTTGATAGTTAGACAGTTGAAATAAAGTAAAAAACATAATTAAAAAAAAATTAAGTGCGCCTCCCATACAAGGGACATGATTTTTTTTTTTTTACGTTTTTATAGATAATGGTACGGAATCTTCGTGCGCGAGTCCAACTCGCACTGGGCCGGTTTTTTCATTCGTGGAATTCAAATATATCGTAACTCCATAATGGTACATTTTAGAAAAAAAAAAACGGTTATGTATTTGTACTAAGATTACCGAATATGACTTAAATTAACTATTTAACTTAGTTTTGTAAGATAAAATAAAAATAATGACAAGAATGAAATTTATTTTGAAGAGTTCTGACTTAAAATTTGCATATTTTGGCAATGGCATGTAACTTAACATCATTCACAGTACGAAAACCATAACTTTGTCAATTTTAATTACTAATTCTAATTTTAGAATATGAATAAATGATAATTATTATATTCGAAAAAAGTTTTAAAATGTTAAATGTCTTTGCTTTTGTTTATGCTTACATCTAGTATCTCTAGCTACAACAGTTAGTTATAATTTTGCTTTAAACAGAGTGTAAACCAAATTTTTATATGGTTAAATAAGTAAGTTGAGCCGTGATAGCTCAGTGTCCGGGCGCTCGCCTTTAATTTAATATACTCGAGCAACCTGAGTTCGATCCCCGGTGCCGGCACCAATGAAGTTTTTAACTTTAAGTGCTGACTTATCACGTGCTCCGCGGTGAAGGAAAACATCGTGAGGAAACCTGCATATTTTCGAAATAATAACAAAAAAAATATATTTCGAAGATATGTGAAGTCCGCCAACCCGCAGTGGGGCCGCGTGGTGGACTATGCCCTGATACCCTCTCTATAGAGGAGGCCTTTGCCCAGCAGTGGGACATGTATAGGCTGTTACTTTACTTTTTACTTTTAAATAAGTAAAACTATTTCACGAATTTCAAGGCGTTTTATTTTAACGAAACTCGCGACGTTCACTGAACAGTTCACTTAAACCATAGTTTAAGTTTTTTTTTGTCAAAAACCAAGGAACAATTCCAACTTGCTTCGGTTTGTTGCGAGCCATTACCAAGGAGATTTTGAAAAGGAAATTAAGTACGAACTTTCGAGACATTTGGCACGCGTCGACGCTGATAAAAATCCGTCTGATTATAATGGACCCTCCACGAATAGTTTTTGACTATTAAAATTTCATCCCGTCAAAACAGACACGTTTTAAATGTTAGGTTATTTGATGTGTGTAGCAATAGGAGTAAATAATAATTGAACTATTTACAATTCTACTTTTGCACTGGCTCGAACAACCGGAAAAATAGATTCTTAATGAATTTAAAATTACTATTGTGCTCTGCACTTAAGATGAAACATTAAAATTTATTTTATATTTGGACTTCCTGTAAATTAAAGGTTTTTCCTGGCGTATCATGCAGAAATAACTAATATTAAATATAACTCTATTTCTACATGAAACTTGCTTTACAACATCAGTTGTCCCCGTTTTCACTCGGTTTAACATAACTTTTCAAATTAAACATCTTTTGATCGATTGTGCAACTTTCTTCCAGTCGAACCTTTTTTTATCTGAGAAGGTGGCAAACGAGCTGGCGTAGGCAGAGCAAGGAAATTTACGTCCCATGCAGAACTTGGCAATTCTAAGGAGGTAGAGAAATTTAAATTTAAACGTATTTTCTGTAGATACCATTAAAAACTAACTTTGGACCAAGGTCACATCCTTTCATCGATTTTAAAATCACTTAGTATATTAAATAGTGATAATTGTTTAATCTAATTCAAGTGGCATATAATAAAGCTTTCGGCTAGTATTGTATATAAAAAAAGATTATCTAATAAATAAGAACTTAATGAATTTTTATATAAAAATATAAGAGTGCATTGTTTCGATGACAAATTACAAGGTCATATTATCGTATTATTGTTTAGATTATGCCAAGAGCTAGTAAAATTAGACTATACGTTAAGTACATACTTTACTTTGACTCACTATATGTTATGGATATGATTTAGTGTTAAAAACTTGGTCCATGAAGGTAACACGAAAACGGATAAGCAAGTTTTTTACTTACTAGGAATTCTTTAAGTTCTTTATAACACAGTTTACCTTGTTAGGCTTTCAGTAGTTGTAAATTTTTCTCGCTACTTATATCGGTTCTCTAAGAATGTGCCGCGAAAATAAACTCTCAACCACTATACAAAGTTTATATTTCACAATGAAAAGGTCTTGATTTAATTCACGCGGGTTGAAATATTTTACGCCGACGTAGATTTTCTTCAAGTTTTAGGGGACAGCAAAAACATATATTAATACTTTTACTGTTAACTGATAACTGTTTTATAATTTATAAAACATACATTGTCGGAAAATTTATTGAGGTAGTTTTTTGAAGTTATACTTCTTTCGGCGCGTTTGTAAGTAAATGGTGTTGCCACACAAAAGTTTTACTTTTATGTGCGCAAACACCGACAGACAAAAGCGACAGGATGAAAGCAACCATTTTCACGGTATTACCTTGGCAACCAATAACAACTTTTGACATTTACCTATAATTCCAAGTTAATAATATTAATTATAACAATTCGTAGATACGACACGAGCGCACCGAAACTGGGCATTCAAATTACGCCACTTGGTGTAATTTCTCTTCTGTTCGGTCCGATTCTATGGCTAGCGTATGTAAAATGCAACTCTATAGGGTACTTTCTCTTTCCGTATCAAACGTTCTATATCATCTTTCACCATTCACTTACATAATATGCCCAGTTATTAAACCGTTATCAATTGCATTCAATACTTTTTCACAAACAAAGAGTACTGACGCGCACAGTGGCACTGGTAACATTTTTAGGAACATTTCTCGAGATTTTTTCGAACTGTTGCAACAAGATCCTGCTTCATAACTATGGACGAAACGCGACTACACCATTACGATACAAAAACAAAACTACAGTCTATGAATTGGAAAAGACCTTCATCTCCAACCGCGAAGAATTCCCAAAGATCTGGAAATGATAGTCGATGAAGGCGAGTCCTTACGTTGGCAAGATAATGGGTTCTCCTTTCTCGGATAATAAAGCGGTGGTCATGATTGAATATCTCAACCATGGAGCTTCTGTTACGGGCTCTCTGTATGCGGAACAAATTCCGTTATGAAATTTTCGAGAAACGACGAAACTAGCAAAGCCGTTTGGTTCCACGAGGAAAACGCCCCGGCTCGCAAGTTCGCCGTTGCCATGGCTGTAATCCATGCTGGCTTTGGAATACTTAAGCATCCTCCACATTCACTCGACCTTGCCCCTATTGATTTCTATCTATTTCCAACGTTTAAGGAGTACAAGAAAAATTCGGAGATGATGAATTATGTGCAGTATATGAATTTTCAGGTGCGCAGGTTGAAGAGTTTATTAAATAAAGAATTATAGCATTACATTGTTGCTTAGAAAAAAAACATTCCAAGCGCATTAAGCTAAAAGGCTATATTGAAAAATAAAATAACATTTAATGCAAAAGGCAAATATCCATTGTCACTTTTTATTGCACGCCCCTACTACTACCGAAGAGGGCACATCGGTGGATTTCTTCACGGCACTGATGCAGTAACTGGTCTGAATAGTGGCCGACCTCGTCGTGACCAATTTTTTTTTTTTCTGTGATTTTTGTCCTTTCAGTCCCGAAACTATTAAAGCTTCATCTGACGCAGAACCAGTGGGCCTGCCAGAGCCCACGGGTTTGGGTGTGACCAATATACTTTCCGCCAACGCGGCTAGACTACCATCATTGTACGCATCTAAGCGCACCTTGACTACTTCCTCACCGCACATTTTGTTGATTAAACCGCAACAGTGTAGCGTCGCTTTTACGGCCCCACAACACAACACGTAACAGTGTAACGTCATTTTTATGACGACACAACAATTGCCGACAGTGTAACATTATTTTCAATACACCGTCACAACACGCCGTCTCATTGTAAGGCGACATTTACCGAGAAAAATATGGATCAATTGCGACGAAGCCCGTCTTGAGGACTCACCTCGACACCCGTGCCTGCCTGCCTGCCTGATGAAGGACGGGTAGAAGAACCCTGTGCTGATTTGGTGTTCTTTATTTAGCAAATCCTTACTAATAATATAGACGCGAAAATTTGTATGTATGGATGGATGTTTGTTACTCTTTCATGCAAATACCACTGAATGGATTTTAATTAAACTTTACAATAATATAGCTTACACATCAGAATAAGACATAGGCTATAATTTATATACATATTTTATGTATGTATGTCTTTCTGTCTGAATGTTATGCCTTCAGCTTATTCTACGCAGACGTAGTCGCGGGCAGCAGCTAGTCTTATATAATGATTCAGTCATATAGTGGCTGTCTATTTTTGGATCAAATTCTGCACACTTCTTAATCTGGCGATTATCGGTAGCTTTGAAACGTCGTGGATTAAACAGAAAAGTAAACGCGATAAAAACCACAAATTAATTTCATTTAACAATGAAAGGAGTACTTGCCAATTTTCTTGTTCTATCTTGTACTGTACGCTAACTTAGTGCACGCACTTGCCTGATGTGGCTAATGTGGAAATGTAGACTGATAAAATGGAAAGTTTTGGGGCTTTATGAGCTCAAATGACCTTGAAAAGTACTTACACGGTAATGGTATGTTTAAAAAACTTTCTAAATTTGTATAAGACACATATTTAATACAGCGTAAAGTCTTCATAACGAATTTCAAAGGACTGAGCATATTTTTTCAACATAAAGAGTTTTCGTTAAACAGTGGGATGAGGAACAACATAAACAAATTTAACCAATTTTAATAATTTGTAATTTAATTACTATCAATACTATAAATTATATTATAAATTATTACTATAAATTATTCTAAAGACTAAAGTTTCTATATATACTTTAAAAAATATTTTTTTAAGAATGTTGTGTGGTCTTGGGATGTGGTAGAATTATCACGGCTGTTTATGACCTCGAGTATCTTTCTTGAAATGTCGCCACCTTTAGATATTAGTTTTGTAAGCTGATTAAAAAAACTGTTAAATACATCAGAATAACACATAGGCTATAATTTATATACATATTTTTTATGTACATCTCTGTCTGAATGTTACGTCTTCAGCCATTCTACGCATACCTAGTCGGCAGCAGCTAGTACAGAATAATTATGGTTGTATGGCGTGTTTGCAGATGAAGAGAGCAAGAGAATCGCTTCAGTGGTCATTCTGAACTACAGATGATGTAAAGATGACTTTCAGATGATGTAAAGATGAATCTATGGGTGACGGAGGCATCGGAAATGCAAAATAGATCTACTTATTTTCATACTGACACTTACAGCTTAAACATACGTCCATTGGCTTGAGACGATTTTACTAATACTCCATCAAGCTATGCTTTTAATAAAAATGAAACGAAGTACAGGCTATCAAAAGCTATATCATTAAAATAAACATGAACCTTAAGGATATTTTCTGGTGCAAGTTATGAAGCTGTTGTGATTAAGATAAAAAATTACAAGAGAGAAATTATTTCAATCTCCATAACTATCCAATGCGAATAACGAAAGAAGCTTCTCCCTTCAACTACAAGAATGCTAACAATAAAATAAGTGGACAGATCATTATCCTAGGCAAACGAATGTAGAAGGGAATGGAAGAACTTAATTATTTGTAAGAAAACAAGAGAATGACAACCGTGAGTAGGCCATATATAAAATTAAATACGTTTAACTTATGTTAGACATTTTATAAACAAGTTTGCCCGAAAGGTGTCGTGGGGCATCCTGTTGCCAATGCCCCTTTCACTCTGTATATAAAACATAATATAAAATTATAATGAATGAATTACGAAAATAACTGCTTTTTAATTTTACCCCTAGTCGTATAAGGTAGCTTGTTATAGAAAAAACACAGAGCGAGTCACTAAGAACGAATGGATGGGTAATAACGCCTTTCTTTACTTGACGATTAGCATCTACTACGCTTTGTTAAAGAAATTCCTTTCAAAAATACTAATCTTCTGTTAATATATTCTTTATTTTTTCAATGGTATTTTATATTGCGATTTTCGTTCCTACTTGGTACATATTAACACCTAGAATATAGTGGCTTATACTTGATCATAATATTAGAAGCAGCGAACATATTTTATAATAAATTCACATCAAAAACACCATCGTATTACTTCAGAGTTTCTCGAAAGAATTTAGTATACGGCTTCAGAACAAAAGAAAATTTCGTATATCTAAGCAATTTTACAGGAGCGCTTTGCGTGAAAACAAACCATTACTAGCGTGATTTATTGAACACGTTCAAACGAAATGCACTCGAAATTTACACAACATTTTCACGTGTCATAAAGCGCGCGCATTCATCTAGTTGACGAGGCTTGCGCATGATGTGCTTTTGCAATTCGCATAAGATCACGATTAGATCACAATTTTTATTAACGAAAAAAAACCGACTACAAATCTCTCAGGTTTGTATGAATTTTATAATTGATTTTCAGGTGTTCCCCAAGTGTCTCTGGAGTCCAAATTATCCAATACCAATGAAATTAATACGGGATCACATGGGAAGCACCAGCTTTCAAATAAATAAAGGATCATCAAGATCAGTACACCCCAGTCGAGAGTTATGAGGTAACAAACATAAAAAAAAATAAAAAAATACAGTCTAATTGAGAACCTCCTCCTCTTTTGAAGTCGGTTGAAAAGTAAAGTAACAGCAAATGTCCCACTTCTGGGCAGAAGCCTCCTCTGTATAGAGGGTATCAGGGTATAGTCCACCAATGCTCAACGCGTGGTGTTGGTTTCGCCTTGCTCGTAAGCGTGTACAAATCATTTGGTTTTCTACGCTAGCACTGTGTGAATGTAGTGTAGTAATAGTCTGTAATAGTTAAATTAAACTCATCTCAAATGCAGATACTAGCCAACGATGTTTGATAATTTAGATGACTCCTGACATACTACGCGGCGTTTGACAATTGTGCCGCTTTACAATAGATGAAACATAAAAAGTGGATGTGACAGATGATATAGAACGTATGATACGGAAAGAGATAGTAATCTACGGAATTGCAATGTAATTACCCCAATTGGCATATATGTACTGAAACTCTCACTAAAATTAAAAATTAAATTAAACATATTGAAATCATGATCATTTTCTAAGTGCTCTAGTTTTGTACCTGAGGCTGTATTAAATCCCCGTCTAAGTATGAAGGTGCAATTCAGGCACACCTCGGCAACAGTGAATAGATAATAATTGAATAGTGTACGGTCTGGCGCATAATTCGCTAAATACTCTAGTAGAGATCTTTGTAAGCTGTTGCTATTCATCTTGCAGCCGTTATTGCTTCATATTTAATATTATCAATGCAGTTGTTTGTGCGCAAATATATCAAAGCATTTATAATATTAACGTATAACAAGGGAAATATCCCTAATTTTAATGCTCATTTTTTCTACGCAAAGCTGTAGACAAAAGCTAGAAGTAGCCACTTCACAGTTCAGCTCCACTTAAAAACTGATTGCTTTAACACAGCAAAGTGATGTGATTATATTTGCAAAAGAGGCAGGAATCCTTGTGCCATTGTGTAATAGTTATATATTTTCATTTCAAGACTTTTATATGAAAAATATAAATATTTTATTTAGGTCAATACCTTTATAAGTTATCGATTACCATAGTTGATTAATAACGAAAACCCTTGCACTAGATGATTAAATCTATATTGTATTATTTATATTAATTTTTTTTTTTTCAATTTGCCCACACTGACAACTGACAGCTCCCAACTTTTAGTAATCTATAATTTTCATAAAAAGAAAACACAAACAGCGCCAACACGGACTGGGAAAAAATATATAGATAATAAAAGGCGTTAATAATTTGCGCACATATAATATTTTAGAATTTATAATATTAAATATGAAGTAATAACTTGTGTGGGGTGGATATTAATATCACCCCACGTGCGACTATGCACGTGATAATTCAGCACTTAAAATCTTTGTAAGCTGTTGCAATTATTCATGTTGCATCCGTTATTACTTCATATTTAATATTATAAATTCTAAAATATTATATGTGCGCAAATTATTAACGCCTTTTATTATCTATATATTTTTTATTCAAAATATTTAGTTTATATATGCAATATATATCTACTATGTTTATTTTTTATTTATAAACCCCACCAGTAAACGAATAATTTGTTAATAAAAAATGAATGTCTTATTTTGAGGAGTACCATTAATAATTTCATTGAAACGAAATAATAAATTTACTCCACGAAGTAGCTGACTCGTGCGGAATTTTCGCACATTACTGTACAGTACTAATAAGTAATATAATAATTTGTTAATAATTATTTATTAATTAAAGGTATCTTATTTTGAGGAGTACCATTAATAGTCTACTTTCATTGAAATAAATTGTCAATAAATGGTTATATAATAAAGAAGGTGTGTTACCTTCTTTATAAGATTTTTTGTCTATTTTTCGTCAGCAGCTGCAAATATAAGCTTTAAAATGGAGTTTAAATCATTTTGATGAAGTCTTATGGAAGTTATGGCCCTCCAACGAAATTAATATATAGAGTAATAATTTGTGTTAGTAAATGTGTTGTAAATGCTCTTCAGTTATTTGTATTGTTTTGAATAAGTGACACCAAGCCCTAAATTATTGGCAACACTAATTTTTGTCATGGCGTCAGTTAAATTAATGTTATTTTTTAATTTTAATTAAGAGTAATTTAACTAATAAAGTGATTGAGCTAATACCATTTCTATTCTAGTTAAC